TTTTCAAAATTAAAATTAAATTGTATGTTTTTGCATTATTTATTCATTTTATGTAAAAAAAAAAAAAAAAATCTAGGGAGATTTGGGGAGGGGGCGGAGGGGCCTCCCGTGGGTAGGGAGGGCATCTTCCTTGGCCCATGACTTTAAATGTTTATTTAAATTTAAACTAGTCAATAAATAACACTATTTGGTGTTTTATTCAAATAAATGTTTAAAAAAATATTTTAATTGCTTTTGTTACAAAATTTAAATTTTTTTAAAAAGACACCATTTTTTAAATGCAAATTTTGATCACGTATTAGAGAGACAATTGATGAATCTAATTTTTTTCAGTAGACCTAAGATGAAATAAAGATATACAATTAAAACTTTTACTCGGGATTTTGGGCCACAGTCTTTATTTTACCTCCAAAAATCACTAATTTACAAGTCAATAATTTTGAACAAAATTGGATAAATGAGGCATTTCTTGAGATAATCGAGTCTTAAGAGTGCTATTTTTGGATTCCTCAAGTTAAAATCTTTTAGAGTACCAAATTTTAGGAAATTTCTCCAAGCCATTATGAAGATACTGTATGTCAAAGTTGCTTTGTAGTCGCTTCAGAAAATCACTAAAATGCTGAGTCAGCATTATTTCAACTGACGATATCTCTGGAACCCATTGGTATTTTCAACTAAAATTTTTGCATTTATAATTTTTTTGATATGGACTGCAAGTGGTGTAAAAATAAACAAAGTCATGGTCTGGATGATTTCATATATTTTTACCCCTTGATGAATTTTTTGAAATTATTTAAGTGGATGGAATATGGTTATCTTCCGAGGACAAGCAGTTGTACCATCTCCAAGTGGAAAGCAAAGGGACAGTGGGATACTCTACAGGCCAAGCGGCCAGTAAAAAAAAAAAATCCATCCCTCTAAAAGACAAAAATTTTCTAATGAGTCATCCAACTCATCATCTTACCCTGCTCGGTGTAGTTAAGGCACTTTTAAAATAATAGAACGTCTGTATGATATTTTGTTGACTACGACATTTTTCCGTTAAACATTCTGGTCTGTGAATTATGAAAAGATGAAATAACTTAAAATGATAAATTTTGCGGTATCATAAAATATAAATGTTTGTAGCAAAAAAATCCAGACCGATGGTTCTTTTTTTTTTTTTTAATCATCTTAAAATTTCAATCGCTCATCCAAATTTAAATAAGATTTTATATTAACAAGTTTTTTAGGTGAAATGAACATTATAGTTTAATAATATGATCTGTTCTGATAATATCTTCCATAATTATAAGCTCTTTCTTGGTCGGAAATCCAGTATTTTTTGTGAAAATTGATAGAAATATTGTGTTTTGACAATTATATATAGTTAATATACGTCAGAACTGATTAGAACTTGGATCAGTAGTAAATTAAGAAACTTTTTCAAAAGATTTTAACTAAATTCATATTAATGCCGATGAGCGGAATTGATCTAAAGACTCCAAAATAGTGTTCTTTAGATACACTATTATGGGTAGTAAAAAGGTTTTGAAAATTATATATAAAAAAGAAAAGTTTCTTTAAATATTATAAAAACCTTAAGCAAAAAAAATTATAGCATTTAAAGATCTTGTTTGTACATAATATGCTTACAAAATCTTGCTAATTCCAAATAAAAGTATTCAAATATTTTGTAAATCGTCTTAATTACACGGAGTGGTTTTAGTGATTCTGACTGAGGCTGACAAAAACAATTAAGAAGAAGATGAGACAACTCCTACACCAAGCAGAAAATATCATAAAAGCAAAATTGCAGTCAACTAGGTGATCTCCACAAGAGTATCAACAAACAAAGCTGCTAACATATGCAAGCATTTAGCTTGTAAGGGCATTGACATCTTAACTCCATGTCAATCAGCTATTTACAAGTCAGCAATCAAAGAAGCAATCAAGCTGATGGAAGAAATGATTAAAAAGTTGCATATGAAAAGTTAGTCCTTACACTTTGATGGCAAACATATTAACAGAATGGATTATCAAGTGGTCGGCCTTAAAAATAAAAGAAGAGAAATCAAATGGATGTCCTTGGCTTGGTAGGGCTTTAACTATTGCTCAAGGAATTTCTTAAGTCCTTGATGAATTTCACCTATGGAATTCAATACAGATGATTGTTGCAGATACCAACATTAGCACTGGAAAAAAGAACAGTGTTGTAGTATTGCAATTAATGTTCACAGAGAAACGCATCAACAAACCTCAGTTTATCAGTTGTCAACACCATGTATTAAATAGAATCCTCCGTTTGGTGATGGATGAAGAACTTGGAAGTAAAATACAATCGCCAAACACCAAATATCCATTTGTATTTCAACTGTTGAAGGAGTATGAACAACTGAAAACACGGTTTGATAACATAACAGAAGTAATCCTCGAAACATCAGGCTGGAGAGACAATATGAAATTTTTGTATCATCTCACTCAAGTGTTCCGATTTTTTGAGGAAAAGGGACATTTTCCATTGATCAGGTTTCTGAAAATACCCAACATCAGCCATGCAAGGTGGAACTCCAGAGCTATACAAGCGATCCTGGCCTTCATTTTATTTCCTTCAACAAAGACATGTCAATTTATATCGTATGGCTGGGCAGACCATTGGTTTACAGACCAACTTTACAACAAAAACAACTTTAATAACTTGGCTGAAATACTGAATCCATACAAAAAGGCTTTAAGCTCTTTGTAAAATCACTGAAAGCGAGAGCCATCCATACTACAGATACCCAGAAGTAATGCGCAGAGCGCGCATTCAAAGTAATGGAGGAAATTTATTCATCATGCAAAAATAAAGACAAATTGCACCTTCGATTACTTCTGTGCAACAAGCAAGAGGAAGGTCAACGGGCTGAGTCATTGTTGGATTGAAAATTTATTGTATTATATGACACTGACATTCTAAATACTTTTGAATACATAGTAGTACTTATGTCAAAATCAATTTTTCAATGGTGGGGTAAACTTTTTTAAAAAGATATGCAAATAATAGTTCATTTCGTGCTTTTTAGGTCAAACTACAGTACAGGAGCATGGGGTTGATAAAAAGTCATAACCCCAATATATATATATATATATATATATATATATATATATATATATATATATATATATATATATATATATATATATATATATATATATATATATATATATATATATATATATATACCTATATATAGAAACTCTATAAGTTCAATCAATTCAGCATTGCTGCTGTGAAGTGTGATAACAAATCCACACTTTATAGAAAATTTTGCAAATAGTATTGAAATTTGGTCAAAATGTAAATATTTTACATCAACCAAACAAACTTTTTTTGAAATAAAAAAAAGGTTTTTTTTATTTCATAAGTTAGGTTCTAAGAGACTTAGAGAATCTTTAATAATGTCACTAACAAAGAAAAGCCTAAACATCTCTCATATATGGATCTGATCTTATTACCTATTCAAGGATAAGGTAAAGCAATTTGCAAAGAACTTGTCCCCTAATTTATTATTTGAATTGAACAACTTTACTCTTGCTGTCATTTCACAGAAATAGTTTAATTCATTCTTAGACATTACTTTAGCTCCTCTAATTGTTTTCTTATCAGTCAGTTTCTCTTGTCAGCCCAATCAGTTTTCCTACTATTGCTAGAATGGTATTCGAGTTTCTAATTAACAAACTTCTCATATCTCATTATGAGTTAAAGATCTTACAACCGACTATTTGTATTGGTTGTTAATCTCTGACAATCAATACAGATTACAATTCTCTAGCTCTAATGCTGACTCCATTAATCGTATTAACAGAAATGTTCTATTATTCAAATTAAATGAAAAAAGTGATTCAAGGGGTAAATCTTTCATACCAAGTGCTATTGCTTTTACATGTTGAAGACTTTTAATAAAGTCTGACATGTTGTCTTCTAGATAAGCTCTCTTATGTTAAAGGAATGTTTTTAAAATTATTATCTCATTCTTTTCTGACTGTTGTATTAAAGTTAATTAATTTTACTTTGATTTAAATTTGCTGTAAAAACTTTTTTTATAAAACAATAAAAATCAAATTCTTTAGGAGACAGAACAATGCTGATTGAAAAACTAACTTTTTTAACTAAAAGTAACTTTTTTTGTATTGATACCTTGCAGTTGATAAAAAGGAATTGTTTCTATGAGTTGTTCTTGTACACTTGCTTACTTCTTGTATGTTTATTATATCTAAATTTATCATTTTTTAAATTATTGTCATATATTAATTAATATCATGCTAGTCTAACTCTGCAATATAAGATATATATGTGTATACATATATATATATATATATATATATATATATATATATATATATATATATGTATATATATATATATATATATATATATATATATATATATATATATATATATATATATATATATGTATTTTATATATATATATATATATATATATATATATATATATATATATATATATATATATATGTTTATATATATGTATATATATATAATATATATTATATATATGTATATATATATATATATATATATATATATATATATATATATATATATATATATATATATATATATATATATATATATATATATATATATATATATATATATAAATTAGTAGAAAATCACTTAACTAAAATTTTTTTTCATTTTACACTGTGTTTCATCAACAAAGATTCATCAAAAAAAAATTTTCTGATGAGTCTTTGTTGATGAAACACAGTGTAAAATGAAAAAAAATTTTAGTTAAGTGATTTTCTACTAATTTATAATTGCTCTGTTCTTTTAAGAACATTGAGCACTCTATCTTGTAGAACACATTTTTAAAATTGTTTAAATATATATATATATATATATATATATATATATATATATATATATATATATATATATATATATATATATATATATATATATATATATATATATATATATATATATATATATATATATATATATATAATTATAGATTTCTTGAAAAAAAGCATAAAGACAAGTACAAAGTTTATAATCTGTAAGATTTTACTTTTTGTGTGCTTAATTTTTTAAAAAATCTGAAAAAAAAAATGTTTTTTTAGTTTTATGGCATAGGTTAGGGAGGAAACTAAATTTGTTTAAATTAACATTTCAAAAACTTTTTATTAAAAACTTCATTCATTTAAAAAATCTTTTTTTTTAAAAAAATATTGGTTGTTTGTTTAAAATATTGGTTCTAGTTTTATTACAAATTTTGCATGTACATTTTATTAAAGATTGTATTTTCATTAAAAATGTTTCTTGTACTTTTATTAACAGTAACTTCAACAATAATTCTCAACAATAATGATAATGCTGAAGCTTAATTGTTTAAATAGTAAATTTACAAAGAGAGAGAGAGAGAGAGAGAGAGAGAGAGAGAGAGAGAGAGAGAGAGAGAGAGAGAGAGAGAGAGTAAAACTTATGTTTGCAATTAGAACTATATCTTTATTAAAAATACTTAATATGAATGTACTTATTTAATATAAAGATACTTCTGATATAAAAGCACCAGCTAAGATCCTTGTTTTTAGTTGCCTACTTTTAACACTTCTTTTTCTTGCAGATGCTTTCGAGTAAGGTTTCAAAACCTCAGATGAATATAATTCATATATAAAAGTAGTACAAAATAAATAGAACTTTAGATATTTTAATTCATTAGAAAATCATTGTCAATAAATAAGTTAAAAGATGTTTTATTTGTAAGTTTAATTTTTTTTAAAAAACCATAAAAATGCAAATTAAAAGTTTTTTGTTTTTAAAAACGTTCTGAATGTTTTTATTTTATATTTTTAAAAATAAACTGCTACATCGACTATCTTAAAGCTTGTAGCAACAAGTGACTGTTACTACATCAACTATCTTATAGCCTGCTGCTACAATATATATATATATATATATATATATATATATATATATATATATATATATATATATATATATATATATATATATATATATATATATATATATATATATATATATAATATATATTAGTGCTTCCAATACCGATACCATTTTTCAATACCGGTATATCGGTACTAAATAATTACAATACCGGTATAATACCGGTATTAAACTTTTTTTTTAAATTTATCATAATCTAAATAAAATCTCAAGTTAATAGTAAAAATTTTATTGATTCAATCAGCTTATTTATTTTATATCAAAACTACTGACTTTTTCATTTTTCGCTTTTTTCTGCTTTGTAAAATGAGCCCGTAAAAAACATAGGGCGTTCAGAACATCATCTTCAAAAGATCATCTAATTTTGTTGGCTTCACAGTTTTCAAGTAATGGTAGGAATTTTGCAAATATAAACAACAATTTCCTCCTTCTTCAAAAATTCCTATTTCAATACATATAATTTTTGATGAATTATTTGAAACATTCAATTTTCCCTTGTTGATACATTTCTTATTTTTCAAAATTGCATAGTCAAGCTTTTTTTTCAATGACAAGTTTACAGCGTTGTCCACAGAATCACTATCGGAAAAAACGCTGGTGAAAGGGAGAGGACTATATCCTTTCTGATTGAGCCCATCTTTCAGTCGAGTAATGGTATTTGCAATGGCTAATTTGCTATGGTGCTCAAAAGATAGAGCTAGATCCAAATTCTTGTAACGTTGATGTCCCTTGTGCAAAAAATGTTGTATGCTGGAAAAAGAGTACGTTGCTCATTGAATTGTTGCACCAACATAACTTTACAGCTAAATCGATTTCTCAAAGGTTATCTATCATGAAAATGTTGTATCGGCACACAACAGAGTTGCATGATTTTGGCACAATGTTTCCACAGTCAGTTTTACTGGCGCAAGACATAAGTTAACAGCTAATATTGCATCGGACTCATTATTAGTTACCTCAACTTTGGACTCAAGGGCAAAAAGTGACTCGTGAATGCATTTTTTCAATTATACAAAACATTCGAGTACTGTGTGCAAGCTAACCCAGCTAGTTTTGGATCCAAGTATTAGTGGAATATCTTTATCAAATTTTTCTAACGTGCGTTTTTGAATTTTGATCATTTTTTGTCGGAGAACGGCGAAATAAAAATTTCACAACGGTGCGCACTTTTTTGATTAACGGCTGCAAATCATCAGTCAGTTCAATAGAGTCATTCTCTTCACTCATTACAACTTGAAACCCGCCGGAAAAGTCTTCATCATTATTGGTTATGTTTGTGTCATCAGTATTTCCTCGTCACTTTCTCTGTTATTGCATATTACTTTCAAGTTTTTTTTGCAGAAATTGACAATTTTTTTGTACAAAATATCTTGAATACCTAGTTGAATCCCATGCCTAATGCACAACTGTTGATCACAGTTACTTAAACGCCTCACTTTCTACATTACTGAAACTTTTCATATTTACGTTAGTGCAAAATTCAAACATGCATTCTACATTAAAGCGAGTGACGTAATGATAATATTTTAAATTGGTGCTTCATTATTTAATGAAAACACGAAAGTAAATGGAATACTTAAAACTTCCAGTCACGATCAAACAACGCTTCCGGTAAGAAAAAGATAGCTAGATGACAAAAGACGTGTTTAAATCGTCTAAAACAAGTATTCTACGTATTTTATACGTCTTAAACGCTAGCTGTTCGCTGGCTAGTTGCTAGCTCATTTCCTACCAAACCTAGTGGGAAATGAGCTGGCAACTAGATATTAAGTATAAAGTACGTAGAATACTTGTTTTAGACAATTTAAACATGTCTTTTCTCATCTAGCTATCTTTTTCCTACCGGAAGTGTTGTTGAAAGTTTTAAGTATTTCATTTACTTTAGTGTTTTCATTAAATAATGAAGCACCAATTTAAAATATTATCATTACGTCACACGTAAAGAGGGTGATAGCACCTGCTATATCATAAGCCCTCAACATATATTTTTTATACCGGTATTGAGCCAAACCAATACCGGTATTTCGGTACTTAAAAATATCCGGTAATTCCGGTACCGGTACTATCGGTATTGGAAGCACTAATATATATATATATATATATATATATATATATATATATATATATATATATATATATATATATATATGTATATATATATATATATACATATATATATATATATATATATATATATATATATATATATATATATATATATATATATATAATGTATATATATATATATGTATATATATATATATATATATATATACATATATATATATATATATATATATATATATATATATATATATATATATATATATTTATTTATATATATTTATATATGGGGTGTAAACAAGGATACAAATGTTATAATTGTTTACTTTAATTGGGAAATGCAACTTTTTTATTGCATAATAACTTCGTATATATGAATTTAAGCTAAATAAAAAAAAGCAGTTATAACCATCAAAAAGAATGTTTTACCTTTTCAAATATATTTTTTAAAATGTTTATTATTATAAACTGAATTTTAAATTTTTGAACAGCTTTAATAGGAAGACATAGCATTGACTAAGATAAAGATTAATTATAGAATATTATAAATTTATTTTTTCATAATGACATTTTCATAAGAAACTGGTTTTTTATTTAAATAACATTTAGTTAGTCCAATCTACTTGAAAATATTTGCATTTCAATTAGCGCTTTTATAACCCTACAGTTGTTTTTCAAAACGCCTTAAGTTGCTTTTTACGTATTTCAAGAAAAAAACTATTTGATATATATTTTAAAGTTTGCAGTTTTATTACAAGAGATTTGTAATTAAAACATTTATATATAAACTTTATTATCTTAATTAAATTACTGGTTGGAAAAAAAAAAGATGCAACTAATATAACTGTTTTGTAATATTAGTCAGTTGAGTCAAGGTCAAAAATATTAGGGAGGGGGAAAAGTGTTAAAACAGAAAATAAAGCAGGCTAGAGCAGCAAGAAATAGAATTTGAATGGAAAAAGAAATAAATTTTAAAAAACTTGGAAGCGAGGGTGGGGGTGGGGGGTGGGGGGTGAAGTGATGATTGCCTTCTCTGAACCCCCATCCTTTGCCTCCTGTTCTTATGACAGTGATATTAGTTAAGCTATATTTTGAAATTCTTAATAGTTAATTATTGTTTTATTATAATAATTATAATTATTGTTATAATGTAATAATAATTATTGTAATAATATAATATAACAATAACTATAATTGCTATCATAAAACTATAATTAACTATTTAGAATTTCAAAACATAGTGTAGTTGAATGATTTTCACCAAATCAATGCGTAAGGCGTTTTGAAAAAAATTTCAAAAATTAAAAGCAGATATTTTTTTAAAGCATTTTTTGAAACTAGTAATCTTTATAAATTTTTTTATAATTTTTAGAAAATAATTATTCAATAATATTTGTTACCATCTATATTAGCTTATTTCATAAAAAAGTCAATTTAGAATTTTTTGATTTTAAGGCGTTTTGAAAAATGTCTATAAACCATCCTTTTAAAAAAGGATTACAGTTTATTATGCAATTTTTGTTTGTTTCTAAAATGACTTCTGAGTTATTCATCTTTTCTTTTATAAATTACTTTACCATATTGTCATTAATATTATAGCGATATAAACATTAAAAAAAATCTGCACTTAGTATTTGTGTTTGAAAAGAAAAGAATTTTTTTTTTTTTTTACTAATTCTATTATAACTTTGTATTATAATTATGTAATATTTATATTCTAATTTTTAATTCTAAAATTCTGCTTTACTAAAAAAAAAAAACAATTGTTTTAGTATAACTTAAACTATAAAGTCAACAAGTTGTTAGCCATTTGAATAGTTAAAATATAATCTCAAGCACTACAAGAAAAATCAGTGATTGTTACACAAAAAAATAAACAATCACATTTTGTAAGCAAAAAAAATCAATCTGAAACTAAAACTTTGACTTTTTTATGCAATGTTTGCACAAGAATTTTTAATCTTATAAATGATTATCTAAAAATAGAGAAAAAAAAGTGGTTTATGTTTATAAATTTTTTTTATTTTGACAAGAGCCATTATTTGCTCTTGTAAATCACTATAGGGAAGTTCAGGCCATGGTGGCAAGGCCTATATATTTCGCCATTGATCAATTTATGATGATTTTAAGATAAGTGATAAGTGCAAAATTGGTCATTTTGAGATAAGTATGCAGTTTTATTATATTTTGTTAGATCTTACATTTTGTCAAACTATGATCATTGCCGGATCAAAGGGGGCTAGGGGGGCTATAGCCTCAGGCTCCGCAAATTTAGGGGCCTCCGAAAATTTTAGAGGATTTTTTTTTTTTTTGTTCACTGGCCCATAAAAAGGCCTCCAAAAACAAAAATTGCCCTGGGCCCTAAGAAGTCTTAATCCACCACTGACTATGATTGCTGTAGTTTATAGAGAAAAATCTATAGCTGATTGTTTTGTTTTACATTATTTTCCGATTTATGGCAACAAATCATGTTTCCAAACTCTTCTTAAAAATGTCATATTTGTACTAAATATGTATATATATGGTCAATTGACCGATGGCCACATGCACACATGTTTATGGATGTCTAAATGTCCGTGAGATGTCAAAACAGACATCTTCCAGATGACACATGCCCACTAGGTGTATATATATATATATATATATATATATATATATATATATATATATAATATATATATATATATATATATATATATATATATATATATATATATATATATATATATATATACATACATAATAGTACGGGTAATGAAACTACCATCAGTTCCATATTTAACAGCAAACATCTTTTTTTGGGTAGCTATAAAGGTGTAAATGTTTAGCTTGAGACAGAAAGCAACTGGCTTGTTTTTTGGTATTATTTGCACTTTTTTTGATTTGCTGCATCTTTTTATGTCAAATTGTTTAATAGTTAAAAATTGATTAAATTGATTTAAAAAAATTGTTAAAAGACCTTAATGTTCTTTATGTTTTATTGTTTTCTATTGTATTTGTTTAGTTTTGTTTATATTTTATTCCAGATATTGTTCACATTTACTATGCTGTAGGAAGTGTAGGATATTTGCTAATATTAATAATAAAAATAATAATAAAAGTAACATTAATGCTACATACTTGCAACCTCTGTCTGTCAATATTTTGATGGTAATGCAGACTTAGTTGCTTGCTTCGGATGTCTTTATTTCTATGGAGATTTTATACATCATACTTAATTCATAATTGTGTTCCTGACTCTAATCTGTTATATTTTAAAAACAATTGAAAACAAACTGTAGGTATTGTTAGCTATCTATTAAAACAATTGAAAACAAACTGTAGGTATCGTTAGCTATCTATTAAAACAATTGAAAACAAACTGTAGGTATTGTTAGCTATCTATTAAAACAATTGAAAACAAACTGTAGGTATTATTATCTTATTACACTGCATCTGTAGTACAATAATTTGCAGTATGCAGATTATTAAATAATGCAGTTTGAGATCTTCCTCTTATGTGCTTGGTGTCTTCCTCTTATGTGCTTTTGTTGAAAAATAGTTTGTTTCCATTTTTGGTTTAGCAACAATGTTGACAAAACCATCATTGCTTGTGAAAGTGGTATTGCTATTGACAATAGAATGCTGGTGATTGGAGTTGCAACCCTCAGAATTAGGAAAAATCAGCAATAATGTTGAGTTGGCTAAAGATGGTGTTTCAATAAATAAACTCATCTATGGAAGACATTAAATGTACCCAGCTACTGTCCTGCAGAAGGACAGTAGCTGGGTACATTTAATGT